ACAATATATTCTGCTCTCCTGATCCTGAGCAAAGGGAATTCCATCTAATTCTGTTTGGCAAACTGAACATCTAAAACAAGATGGGTGGTATGATCTCCCCAGTGCTTGAATAATCTGTGTTGTTACAAAATTTATACTATTAAAAAAATGTTAAAATAATACAAAATGTAAATTTAAACTTAAAACGCCATGACTTTCCAGCCCTTGAAATTATGTTTAACTTATAAAATTCCACGACTTTCTAGGCCTAGAAACTTTCATTATAAAATTCCATGACTTTCCAGCGCTGGAAATTACATTGTAAAATTGCATGACTTTCCAGGTTTTCCAAGACCATACAAACCCTGTGATTGCTCCTGGCTGGGAGGGATAAAAGGCTACTGTATTTGCAGCCTACAGACTCTGGCTGTTTTGATCAAGGATGCTATGTAAATTTTATATTTAAACAAAGTGGCTGTGAGCCACTGAACTTGGAAAATAAATTATGAAAGCGTGTTATAAGGCATTGCTCATCAAGGAACTACTTGATGTGAGGGCAGTCTAGCTTTCGAAAAATTCCATTATGCCTTTTTCCATTCTGGGGTGTGTTGTGATATTTGCAAAACGAAAAAGTTCAATGTTAAGAAACTTTTTGTTACTGAGGCCCACCTACATGTGTTACATTACATGTATCTGTACATGTCTTCCTTGTCCTGTACCGGTATTTGTTTTAAGTGGTGGGTGTAATGAAGTTCAAGTGACGTCCACATTGATCTCCCTTGGTAGAGCAGCCCTTGCCTTTTCAAATGGGAGTCCCCCACCCCCTGGGTTTCCAAATGTCTAATGGGAAGTGATGGAGTGAAGAAGACAGTGATGGAGTGAAATCGTTCCATGACTACAACTTGGAAAATAACAACTATTTTCCAAGTTGAAAAGCTTTACATTGTGAACCATAGCAGGAGGTTTCATAAGCATTTTTGCCATTCATAGAAATATACTGCAAAGTTACACTGTAACACAACAGTTTAACTTAGTAACATGGTGTCCCTGCATTCTAACTTGCCTTTTCCTTGATTATCTTTCCACAAAAATAACAATATTTAGGAGCAAGCTCAAGCTTCTGAAAAATAAAACCAAATGCTAAAAAAATGTATAACATCATCCTGGTTGTAGATTAAGAGTACAGTACACCTTAGGGGTTTTTGCTGGGATAATTTTGGGGTGCAGGGTGTTTTTTGAATGTTTTGTAACATTTTATAATCAGAATTCACTTTAACCACCAGCAGCTGGTTATTTATTTGTTTATTAATTTACTTGTTTGTTTAATACTAAATTATTTAATTTCTGTTCTTATGTTTATTTCTTTCTTTTTCGAGGGGGGAGGGCTAGGACTTATTATCAGAGTTGTGAGGAGGGGAGCCCTGGGGCTTATTGTATTTCAGGACAACACAAAATAAAAACCCCATTTTTTTGTTTTTTTTTACCAGTCATATACTCATTCTCATCCCTAGAGGCCACACTCCTTTCGGTCGGCACCAAGAATTGTGACCTCTGGCTGGGCCTGATTTTCTGAGCATGCTCAGATTTGTCAGATTTGACTGTAAGTCCATGAATCGCGGACCTCCAGTATTGGACCAGCCTAGAGGTTGCGATTCTTGGTGCTGACCAAAAGGAGCATGGCCTCTGGGGACGAGAATGTAATACTAAATTGCTAACAATGGTAGGAAATGAACTGAAATAATGAGATAATAAGAAATAGACCTTATACATGTAATTATTGTGGTCGATACAAACCGTGTAATCCTGTTCACAGTACACCTTTCCATCAATGTTATAAAATGCCTTGCCAATCAGCTGCTTTCCTACCGTACGAAAGTGTGTGTAAATATTGAGGATTACCCTAATTCACAACTTAGAGATACCTTTCAAGCAAAGCAAAGCAAAGCAAAGTAAACATAGACACCTGAATTAAAAGTGCTCATGTAAACATGTACTGACAGCAGATTCTAGAATTTGTAAGGACCGTCTATTGCAACTCTCAATGAACCTCTTGAAAGTAAAATTTTAATTATACTTATTATTAATAATAATGTCAAATACAGTCCAACCTCCAGTTGCAACCACCTCTTGTGGGCAACCACCTCTCCTCAGCGACCAGTATTCCAAAATACCAAAAAATCCCGAGTCAAATCACTATATTTTGAACCTCTTGTAAGCAACTACCTTTCGTAAGCGACTGCGACCACTTTTAGAGCTAAAAGTTTGAAATTTTCTTTTGTTTTTAACCTTCCGTACGCAACCACTTGACAGATAATAGAGTGTAAATTGGATAATAAGGTCTTGTAACATTATCGTATTCATGGTAGTACATGAGATGGAAATTACTCAATAGGAAATACCAGATTTTTTCTCAATATTGACTTTTCACATGAATAAAACATTTAAAACATGGGGTAAGTCTCTGCAGTTACAATATGTTAATGAGACAAAGTTGTGATCCAATATGGTCTTAGCTCTCGTAAGCGACTACCTCCCATATGCGCTTATGGGAGGTTCGCCTGTATAATAATATTTTAGTTATGAATAATAAAATATTTATTTCCTTACCGCAAGAGCAACAGAGAAAACACTGAACATGGTAGAGATGTTCCATAGCACGACAGGCTGATTCACAGCCATTAATTTGCTTGTTACAGTTGTGACACACACCTGTCAAGAAAAACAGCAAAGATGAACACATTTGAGACATTTCATCTGCTTTTTTTTAATCTCCAGTTGTATGTGTTATCTTAATTATTTGAGCTATGCACTTTATGGGACAGGGGAGGAGGAAGGGAAGGGGGGTTGCTAGACAGTCTTGACTTACTGTACATTAAATAAATATACTTACTACATCAGACTGAAATTTTACAAGTGTCCCTGATACAGACCAAATTGCAGTTCTCTCATATCAGTCACCAAATTTCAAATTTGCATTTTCCACACTTATTTTGCCTGATTTCTGTCATTTTCAGGGGCAAATTTGGGGATGTTTGATGCATTTTGGTAATAATGAATCAACAAGGCTCCACTTTAACACATTTTGTTAGGGTTGAGAAATTAAAATAAAAAATTTAAAAAAATGCTGATTTCTGAGATTTGAATTTCAATTATAACTACACTTATTTTGACCACTGAATTTGTTTCAGAGGTTGTGTTTACACTGTTTACAGTGTACATAGAATTATTATCAAGTATTTAAGAAATAGAAAACATGTACTGTGTTTCAATCGAGTTATAGAAACACAAGTGGAAGTTTGGGAGAACAGGCAATGCTGTGGGAACACGAGATGCAGGTGAGTGTTTCGACAGCTTTTTTGAGTTCTCCCAAACTTTCATAAGTGTTTCTATACCTTGATAGAAACACGCAGAACATGTTTTCTATTTCTTTCAGAAAACACTGCAATGAAAAAAAGAAACAACTTGTTCAATGTGATCATTAAAATGTAAATTCTCTTTGCACACGCCATCATTACGTCAACAACTCGTGCTAGTTCTGTGTTTGTATTGAGTTATAGAAACACAATTTTTAACCAATCAGCATGCGTATTTTCTTGGGGCTGTTTTCTAAACCCTGATAACAAAAGTCATACTCCGAATTGAACCTGTGGTGGACTNCATGTACTGTGTTTCAATCGAGTTATAGAAACACAAGTGGAAGTTTGGGAAAACAAGCAATGCTGTGGGAACACGAGATGCAGGTGAGTGTTTCCACAGCTTTTTCGAGTTCTCCCAAACTTCTATAAGTGTTTCTACACCTTGATAGAAACACAGAGAACATGTTTTCTATTTCTTTCAGAAAACACTGCAATGAAAAAAAGAAAACAACTTGTTCAATGTGATCATTAAAATGTAAATTCTCTTTGCACACGCCATCATTATGTCAACAGCTCGTGCTAGTTCTGTGTTTCTATCGAGTTATAGAAACACGATTTTTAACCAATCAGCGTGCATATTTTCTTGGGGCTGTTTTCTAAACCCTGATAACAAAAGTCATACTCCGAATTGAACCTGTGGTGGACTAATGTTGTCCAGGAGCCAAGAGGAGTGCATGTTATAGCATTACGATATTTCCTTTTATACCATATTGCCATAGAAAATATGCCAATCAGAGTACAAAAAAGCTGTTGTATATTCCACAGTATTAGACCCAATCTTCGCAATGTGTACTGTGAGTATGTCACATTCATCGTGTTGGCCACTGTGTTTTCTATGGCATGATGTAAAAACGTTATGTAACACTCTCTCATGGTATATCATGCAATGTCCCACTTGTCACTTGTTTTTTCTTGGTACACACACTTGCGTAAGGCTTGTGTGTATACTGAGAAAGGAGAAGTGACTTGTGGATATTTGATGGTGTACCAAGAGAAAGCACGCATAACTTGTATATATAACTGCATGATGCTTTGGAACTGTACAGATATTGTACACCATTTGTTTGTAGCCTTCATTTTAGCTTTCTCTTGGCCACTTACTCCTCTGGTTGCTTTTAAAATCCTGGGAGAGGGCAACAAGGGGACCGGTGAAATTTCAATAGGCTACACCATCAGAAAACAGTCCTTTTGGATAACCCAGAACATGAGGTGAGATTTAAAACATGGTCTCTCTAGTGGCCAATTCCCTCTATGAGATGCACCTGCAGGGAATAATTTATATGGAAGCTGCATAAAAGTTTCATCATCTTGGGGTGCTTTCCATTATGCCAGAGCGACTGGTCAAAAACCAGAGGGACTAACTGAGGAAAATGGAACAACATTTTCCAATCAAACCAGGCCAACCAAGAGGAATGTCTCTTACCATTTTTCCTTCCTTTCCCAAATTCCCTACATAAGTGAAATCTACTGAAGGGAAGTAGGGCAATGAACCAGTTTGTCAAAATGGATTAGCAAATTTCGGTCTGACTGGTCAAAGTGGACCACCTCCAGAGGTGGTCCCGAATATTTCGGTCGAACCAAACCGAAACGCACCTTTTGATTTGACTTCCGACTGAAATTTCTGGAATTTTTGGCATAATGGGAAGCAGCATTGGACTGGATGTTTATTTTGATGAAACAACTATGGTCCATGATACCCTGCAGACA